AGCTCAGTTATACTTCTGCCGCTGTCCAGGGTGAATTTTGCTGTCCAAAATGAATTTTTCTGCTTCTGATGGTAAATAAACTTTAAAACTCATCGAAAATCATGTTGCTTTTTTTTTTCCTGTTGACTGTGTTAAATTTCAGAGAGACATCATTGAGATGCCCAGCATCAGTAAATGGAATGTCACTTACACTAACCAGACTTCATTAGGTACACCTATTCAGCTGAGGTGACTTAAGTGACTTAAGTGACTTTGAATGTGGCGTGGTTGTTGGTGTTGGTCGGAGCAGCCATTTCTAGGGTTTACAGGGGATGGTTGTAAAAACAGAAAATATCCAGTAAGCAGCAGTTCTCTGGATGAAAATGTCTTGTTGATGACAGAAGAATGGACCGACTTGTTTGATGACTTGAACAAGCACACTTTATAACCAAAGAATGCACAAAACAACACTGAAGACCACACCAGGTACCAATTCTGTCAGCTGACAGGAAACCGAGGCTACAACTTGCACCACTTGAAGACTGGGAAAGAGTTGCAATATTCAACATTGATGAGAAGCTGACAAATCTGCAGCAACTGAGTGATGCCATCAGGTCAACATGAACCAGAATCTCTAATGAGCATTTCCAGCACCCTGTTGATTCTGTGAAGAATGAAAGCAGCTCTGAAGACATAAGGGGGGTTCAGCCCTGTAGTAGTAAGCTGTACCTAGCAAACTGTCCAGTGAGTATACTCTTGCTTTTCTCCTTTATTCACAAACACAGAGCTTTGGTTCTTGTATTTGAGCACCTTCTATCCCACACGCTCCAGTGGATGTATCAGGAGCACTGTGGGGTTCAGTGTCTTGACTAAGCACCTTTTGATACAGCCTTTAGGAGCTGAAGGTCAAACCACTAACCTTCCAAATTGGTGGACCCACTTTACCTCCTGAGCCACAGCTGTCATGGCAACCACCACTCTGATTAGGTTACTTTGAGCAGCAGCTCTTTAGTTCTTCTTGTGATGGCTATAAACCGATCGAGTCCCCATAAGCAGTTTGAGCTTTATTCAGTAGCTGCCCCGCTCACCCACTGCTGTTAGTGGAAACAGATCTGTACTGTGATGAGACATGCGTACAGGTGATGGTTCGTTCTCTGGCACCAAAGATGGGTGCTTAAAATGTTTTGCATTCTCCTGCAGACTTCATGCTGGCATTTTTGTGGCGTTTGCATCTTTGTTACTCAGCCACTGTTTGCAGCTATGGTGGACCCATCACACGCACAATGTAGAGGAAAAATCAATCATGATCAAGATATGGATGAAAACACTTCTTTTGATGAAAGCCTAAGGTCTTCGTTTGCTTCTGTAAAACAGTGTGAGCTTATTTTTTTAAGAAAAGGTTTCAGCAACCAGCACCACCTGTTGCCACTTCCCTTGTTTGCAGGATGACGAGCACGCAGAGCTTCGTTTGGGACATCTTTATTATATTGCCAAAGCTGTACATATTTTATAAATACTTTCTGAATACTGGAATAGTTACACCATCCATCTCATGTCATTTTTCCTTCTCTTTACAGCTATCAGATTTCACAGCAACAGAGATGAGTTGTAATAATCCAGTTAAAAAAAAAAAAAAAAAGTTAACTCAAGCAGAAAATTCTCAGATCAGTTTTGCAGATGCTTCAGATCAAGTTCTGTCATTTATTAACAGCATCTTCTCCACACTCAGATTTCCTTTTGCACAGTTAAATTCCTTAAAAATACAAGCATGTCAGGATCAAAATAACATCTTCCAGCCTTACAGCTGTACTGATATATTGCTGATCTAGAGAAAAGTGTTCACCACATTCACACACGCGAACCACAAAAAACACGCACTCTCACTGTGAAAGTAAACGAGCCAGCGATGGGACCAGACACGACATAAAGACTCGATCGTCTCCTTGGAGATCAGGTGACCACTGATGGCATCTTCAGCGCGTCTGAAGGGTCAGTCACAGGAGGAAGAACTGCTGCTGTGGGTTCGGTGGCTTATTTCTCATTTCTCCACACCCCATCAGTCGATTATGCAGCTCCTACACTGGTTTCGGCTTCTCTAGTGAATATTTGTGTTTTCAGTCGCGCAGGAATAATTCCAGCGCAGATATTACACTGTTACTAAAAATGCCTTCTTTTCCCCACTACTTTTTATTGGTGTTTCATTAAGTACCAGCGTGTAACTCCAGTGTTTGTACCACAGATATGGAAATATATACAACTATGTCTCTAGATTATCACCCACCACTGAATGTTTTAATGACTTACATACTTGTATTTATGGTCAAGTGAAGGAAAAAAAATCGCAGAAGTTTTGAAACATCCGTTGTTTAAAGGGGGCACACAAACAGCTCACATGTGTACCATCAAAGACATTTTGCACTGCCTTTAGTAGCTCATTATCCATGCAGCCTTTGCCTACAATTAAAAGCTGTAAGAAGACGGTGACATTTATCCCGGCATCCCCGCCGCCTGCTGTGACATCGCGGATTGGGGTGGGGTTTGTTAGCACCCACAGAGAGCGACACAGCAGCAGTCCTTTGCACCGACTGACCTGTGATCACCTTTTAAAACGAAATGCTCGTGTCACACTGAAGTCGTAATATTCAATCGATCGATGTGTACTATAGAAAAACAAACTCGTTCTTACATTCGTCACCCTGTGAAAGCCAGTTCACTCGAGAAAACCTGGCTCTGGCAATGGCTAACTACTTTTTAAGTATTGCACATCTAGCAAATTAACATTTGTAACATTTTGTTTTCCAGAAATGTACAGTCAATATATGTATATATTAAATAAATACTATATATAGAAATATATATAATATTTATTTGTCATCCTCATAGTAACATGCAATTGATAACAGCAGACCACAGACGAGAAATTTTACAGTAGAACTAGAACAGTAATTGAGCCGGGTGGGCCGAGCAAGAGTACACATCTGAGAACACTCACGGTATTTTAGGGTTCAAACACCATAACGAAGCGTTTACATGCGGTGCTCTGGTGCAGTATACAGTAGCATTTTCAGCATGGAACATCCCGCACTACACGACAGTCTCTGGTTGTTGGACCAACTGGGACAGACTGGACCTTTACAGTAACCACATATCACAGAATACGTCATACAGTCATATGGAGACGGGCAGGAGAGGGCAGGAAGCTACGCTGTACGTCGAGGCTGTGCGCGGGACCTGCAAGCACTCAGTGCCTCGGGGGTTGGGGGGTGATGGGGTAATGGAGCCCTCACATCACATACGAGTAAAAACTGTTGGGTCCTGCTAGCAGGAACAAGGAGCAAAACTTTCACCGGGAGCAGAGGAGCTCTGGGGGGGAGCAACTTTCCAGAGTAATGAAGCGGGCAAATATTTAGCTAGTTTGGGAAGAACATCTGGGCAACAGCAGTGAAGAGCTGGAAGTATTTACATGACATCACAGACCAAACATGTCTACACAATTGGATCTAAAAAGGGTTTGTATATACACAGGAGGGGAGCGCG